TTATAATAACTCATTCTTAACAGAGAAATTTTCAGCAGTGCTCTGCAGCCAATGCATGTTACACCAAACTTGTCACTGAAAGGAATACTTTCAAATAAAAACAATTCCATTTGTTTTTTGCCCCTGCCACTGTCAGCATGCGATTCTATTCAGTTACATGTATTTTATTTCAAAGATATAATTTAGACAGAAATCTGTCATTGTCTCTGAATGCATGTTCCTATGGAACTACTTATATACACAGGTAAACACATTAACAACATGTTTACATATAGTAATATAAAGAAAATTTAAGCAAAAATCTACCATAAAGCATGCAATTGACTGTTTTTCTTTTCACATATACTTTTAACAGCACAACAGCACTTAAAGTAATATATAGCTACTTCAAAATAATATGCCAATTGTCCTGCAGATATATTAAAAAAATATGAACAGAAATCATAACACAAGAAAAAAGTGGTTATAAATACATAAAAATAGAACAGTTACCCTTGGCTTCCTAACCTCCATCTGACATTTAATGGATCTTGAACAGCACATGCAAAAGGCAACTTTTGACAGAAAAAGAGCCAAACCTTCCAAGTGAAGTTAAAAACCCCATCCAACACCATATTTCATGGACATCCTAAAGCAGTTCATCTTTCTTTTTCAGCCATGCTTATAAAGTTTGGGTAGGTTTGCTATGCCTCTAATTTCCTAGACACAGCTTTAAGAAAATGAAGCATGCCTGTTATCCCTTTGTTCAGAAATATAAATCCTTCTGAAAATAATGCAGATTTGTCATCCTTCCTGATATCGAAAAATAATAAATCTCCGCAGCGATGATCACCATCTGTATCACTGGCAAGAAAAATTCTCTTCCATTAGTGCAGCAGCAGAGGAAAGGTGAGAAGCAGCTACATATTTAATTTACTTCTCAGCAGGCAGATCTGGAAATCCATAAAAGCCAGCTGAGATGAGCAACAAAGTGTTTAACCCTCTAGCAAAAATAATGTATTCCATCACACATGAAACCTGGCATTAAAGAATCGTAGCAGTCTAAATCAAGTTACATCCTTATCTCCACTGTTGCACTGTTATTCATACCCCTTTCTTTTCAGCAACCATGTCTTTGAGACAGGTTTTAGAAGGAGCATTTTTTACGTCATTGCAGCACCACTAGCATACTTATCTACAGCAGCAGCGTCCCCACCCCCCAAAAAGAAGAAAAATCTTTTGAGATTCTGCTGTAATTCTTCTCTAACTGGTGGCACAGCCATCAGCTGTTTCTTTTTTATGATTATACAGAACGCTAGTGCCAGTGCACAGATGATATCCCATGGCAGAGCCTGCTTGTTAGGAATGATGCTGCACTGCAGTGGAAGGACATGAAGCCCCAGATGGAGTCGGGCAGTGCCATGCCAGCAGCACAGCTTTTGCCAGCAGCTCTACCTTAGCAGCAAAGGTTACTTAGGCATCAATATCCCAGCCCAAATGCAAAACCTGGAAATCAAGGCTGTACAAACTTTCCAGAAGATAGAGAGAGGGGGATTAGGAATAAGAGAAAAGATTACTCCTCCTTTACTGCTATATCCTTTCTGGTATCTTACAGCTTTGCTGCTCTGTGTATCTTCTTTGGTCAAAAACCCAAAACTTATGCAAAAAATGCACAGAATCTTGTGAGGTTTAACAGGATTCTCTCCAACAGAATTATTTAAGGTAACTTCAGAAGCCTAAGACTTTCTACCTTTACCAATGAGTTCTGAAAATAAATCTTGTTGATCATAAATTCTTCAGTATGAGAAAAGCCTTTTGAATAGTTCTAACATGATTTTTACCTTGCATCAGAAACTGTCTGGTAGGTTAAGATATCAAGCTGGAAGTGAAAACTCATCATATCTTAGTGTTCCAGGTGTCATTTCCTTCAGAGAATTCTAACAACAAGAGCCATCAGCACTGAGTCACCCTTTCTACTATGGAAAAATGACGTTTGTACAAATAAAGCTCTGACTTTGCAAAGAAAATACACTACCAGAGCAATTCTAAAACTGTCAGATAGTAATACTGAAACTGTTAAGACACTTGATCACAGGATTTCTGCTGTACATTCTGCCTCTATCTCCAATACCCTCATTCTCAAGCTGTGTCACCTCTCCAAACCACACCGCAGAGAAGGCGAACAAACTATTGAGGCCAATGATCTGAACAGGGAAAGATTCAACGGTAAAGTTTTAAACAGATGGTTGTTTTTCTCACCAAGGACTCTGTTTTTTGAAGCCAACAGATCAAATGGAAAGAGGACAGTGTGTGAATTGTTCTGCTTTACCCAGAGATACTGACCAGAATCTACACTTGCACATTAGTCCAATAAGATCAGGGAGCTGCCCTCCAGATGTTACTTCCCAAGCCTCTTCATTATTTCAAAAATAATAAACTGCTTGGAGTTAGGGATTCCTAGTAGATGTGTTCATTATTTTACTAATTTTCCTCTGAAAAATCTCTGATTTTCCAGTTAATCAGCAGTCCCACAACCATAAAATCCTTTGGGGTATCAATCTTGGCACACGGGAATGCAGTACTGTGTCTGCCCAGCAAGAGGAGGCTCCAGTAAGGACATACTGCTCAGGTAGAATAAACATCAGATTCCAGGCCTGTACCTCTCAGTGTGCTCAGAAAACTTGGACCTACCAAAAAGTCATCAATCCCCCTTTCCTCTTGCCCCCTCCCAATTCAGGGAATTTAGAAGCAGAGGGGATTGAGAGAGAGGATTTAGTGGCTGGATCCACTTGCAACAACCATCACCTGTCCAGACTGGGAACTGGGCCAAGCCATGACACAAAAAATTCAAGAGTTACAATGTTTTGCTTGACCTTTTAAAGTCGTTATTATTGGTATTGAAATAACTTATTTCAGAGTTTTGAAATTATTGCATGTTAGACTGTATTTTCAGAGTCATGAAGGCTTGCCAAGGCAATATGGGAAGTAAGTTTAAAAACAAAAGATCCAGACTACAGTTTGGCAGAGTTTCCAAAATGTGGAGCTGGTATATGTGAACAAGTAATGTTAATCTGACAGGGCTTTAAATTTGATATAAGGCTAAATAAAGCTGAGGGAAACATGAGTGCAGGAACTTCAAAGGCTGAACAGTCAAGTGAAGTCAAATTAATACCTGACTAGGCTAGAACAAAGAGCAGATGGTTTTTGGAGGGAGCTGTATATTTGAACTCAAGATGACTTCAGTAACATTTGAATTCAGAGAGAAAAAAATGTAGAAAAAAATGTAAGTTGGAAATACCATGTATATATGCAGTCTCAGAAAGAACTTCAAACTGAACAAACTGTGAACAAACTGTGATGAAAGAAGCAAATGTGTGTCCAAAATATGGATGGTTCTGAAAACCAGACAGTGGACATTTCAAGCAACTACTGTGCCCTTCTGGGAGAGTATATTTTTATCACATACTTTTCTGGGAAATTAGTAGGGAGAAAGATTAATCACAGTGGCATAATCACTAATGATCATCAATTTAAGATGGGAATCTATCAGATAAGAAGTTTCAAAGATGCCATGCCTTACCATTCTTCTAATTTGGCATGAAGGACACAGTGGTCCAGATTGCTTCTTTGCTGTCATTTACTCTGTAGATTATATCTATGTACAATTGCATTTCTAGTATCTTCTATATATTATACCCTAACATAATGGTTTAGATTACTGAGAAAGCAAAGAAAGTTCCATCTTTTAATGTGTAACTCAAAAAGTTGACCTTCTGCTGTAGGATAGCTGGAAAACACACACAGCAAGCAGCTTCAGGTACAGCACTACTAGGAAGGCACAATCAGAAAAGAAATGTCTGCCAACTCTTTCTGCAGTAAAATTTGAGTCTTTTTGCCTTGCATAACTGAATGATGTGTTGCTTTCTAAAATGTGATATGGTCATTTCAAAATGACAACATCTTGGCAAAAGGTAACTTTTGTATCATTATTTTTGGCTCTAATGCACACAAATTACTATTTAAAAGCCTGAATCTTAGCACACAGCACCCGATCCCAGGGCAAGCTGAACATTCAACAGCCACAGAAGCATGTTTAAACACACGATCCTGTGAAGAATGAGGCACTTTTATTAGCTGCAATGCACTGACATCTAAGTTGATACTATTTTTATTTCTTCATTAGTGAAATTGGCACGTAATAATTGGATATACTATATCCAATAACACACTACACAGATGTGGAAGCTCCTAGGAGGCTGCTTAGGAGAAGAAGCTAACACTTTGGTGCTCCTCACCTGCAAAATGAAAAAAACCCTCTTTTACTAGTACATGTAAAGAATGGAATTTTCCCAAAGTTTGAAGCAGAATGTCAGTCAGTTGAATCCACTTAATTATATCAATGAGTTTTTGATACATTATCATTTCAATAAGGCCACCCATAGCTTAATTATCACACTTAGATGGATAAATTACTCTAGCAAAAGACTGGTTTTCATTTTCTAACAAACAGAGAGAAAGGAAACAAAAAGAAGGAGGCCAGATGGCCTTCACATTGCCCCAAGAACATCAGAACCAATGACCTGGATAACACATACTGAAGAGCTCTGAAAAGTAGCCTAGGTGCCAAATAAAAGGTCTATCATTTGCTCCAGTACCTCGCTTCAAAATTCTTTCACTCTAGACCCCGGACCAGCTCAGCCACTGATTTCCTCCCAGTGAACAGCAAACG